TCTCTTTCCCTCCCATCTCGTGCCTCTGTTTAATGTCAATCTTTTCYTCCTGCTCTTCCTCCCTKCTCTATTCTTAGTTGCTCTCATTATATCAAAGAAGACATTTGGTATTTGTTTTTTAGGGATTGGCTAGCTTCACTAAGCATAATCTGCTCTAGTGCCATCCATTTCCCTGCAAATTCCATGATTTTGTCATTTTTTAGTGCTGCGTAATACTCCATAGTGTATATCTACTGAGATGATCATTTGGTTTCTGTTCTTCATTTTTTTTTTTTTTTTTGCCTGGAGATTGAACCCAGGGACACTCTACCACAGAGTTATATTCACATCCCTTTTTATTTTTTTGAGACTGGGTCTTGTTAACTTTCCCAGGCTGGCCTCAACTTGAGATCTCACTGTTTCAGCCTCCCAAGTATCTGAGATTATAGCATGCACCACTGCATATAGCTTCTTCATTCTGTTAATGTTGTATATTACTTTGATTTGTATATGCTGAACCATCTTTACATACTTGGGGAAAAATCTCACTTGATAATTTGAATGATCTTTTTAGATGCATTGAATTTAGCTTGCTAGTATTTTGTTTAGGATTTTGCAACTATGTTCAACAGGGATGTTTCCTGTAGTTTTCTTTTCTTATATATGGCTTTGGATGAGGGTCATGCTGGTCTTCTAAAATGAATTTGGAAGTATCCCGTTTTTCAATTTATTGAGAGTTTGAGAAAGATAGATATTAGTTCTTTAAATGTTTGGAAGAATTCAGCAGTGAAACTGTCAGGTTCTGGGCATTTCTTTGGAGACTTTTTACTACTAATTTAATATCTTGATACTCATTATTAGTATGTTCAGATACAGGCCTGTATCTGTGCAAACCAACCTGAAGTTTGTGTTCATAGCAGCTGACCTGGTCCTGGGGTGGAACTGGAGCCAGATTCTACAGGGGCACCCCTGAGTCCTGGATCCATGAGGGCTGGCCTGGAGCCTGGAACTTCAGGGTGGTCTTGGAAGTCTCAGACCTCCAGGTCAAGCCATGGAACCAGGGTCCAAATGGATTCGGTTATAGGGACTGGCCTGGTACTGGGCAAACCTGGAAACTGTGTCCATTAGTGCCTGGGGCCAGGTGTGCCAACCTGGTGCTGGTGTAGGCCTGAAGTCTGGGCCTGTGTGATTTGACCAGGCTTTGGAGCCTGGAGTCACAGGGCTGGCTTTATGACTAGCTTTGCAGAGGCCAGGTACTAGAGCCAGTCCGGAGCCTGGAGCTGCTGGGGATAGCCTGGTGGTGGAGCAGGCCTAGAGACTGAGTCTTCCAGGTGGGCTTGGAGACCAGAGTATGTTGGCCTGCCTGGTATTGAGTTTTACTGGAATGGGCCTAGTGTGGGGTCCAAGACAATGTCTAGTGCTTACTTCTCTTTCCTTCCCCCACCAGCAGAGGGTGTCTCTCTTCATGCTGTGTGTCCTAGGTTTGGAGAAGGGCTGATGTGGATAATGTAAAAAATATCCTGCCTACTCTCTTTAAAGAGTCTTTTCTTATTTCTGTACTACACCCAGGTGCTTTAATTCTTCACCTGTTTTCCTTAGCTCCTATGGAGTTATTTTCACATGTGGATAGTTCAAGTGAATGTTTCTGTGGACAGAGGTGGTGGTGGGAGTATAAAAGTTGGGAAATCCTATTCTACCATCTTGGTGACATCTGCTAGGGTGGTTGTTTATAAAAAATATAATCACTGATTTAACAGCTTACTTGTTATGGTCTATTATCTACAGAAAGGAGTTTTTTTTCTTTTTTCTTTTTTTTAAATATAAAACATTAATAGATGTGGTTTGTTAGTTTATGTGAGATTTTTTCTATGTCTTGAGTCACTAACAAATTCTTATTGGTGACTTGTGTGCTTTGGGGCATTTTTTATTTCACCTAGGTTATCTAAGTTTTTGGTATATAATTGCTGTAAACATTCTCTTATACTTCTTTTTTATTTATATAATATTTACAATAATAGCCTCAGATTTATTTTTTATTAGTAATATTTGTGTCTTATCTTTCTGTCAGTCTACCAAAAGTTTTGTCAATTTTTTCTAAAAGAACCAACTTCTAGTTTCATTGATTCTGTCTATTGTTTCACCATTCTCTCTATTATTGAACTCCACTGTAATTTTCTAACTTATTTTTTTCTGTTAGCTTTGGTTTTAGTTTCTTTTTTCTTTATAATTCCTTAATATGTAAAATTAGATTGTTAATTTGTTATATTTTTCTTAATGTAGACACTTACTGCTATAAATTTCCCTTCATCTATGCTTTTGCCATCTCTCAAATTTTGGTGTATTGTGTTTTTAGTTTCATTCATGTTAAAATACTTGTTAAATTTCACTTTTAATGTTTTTTAACCCATTAGTTATTTAAGAGCATGTTGTTTACTTTTCACAGATTTGTGAATTCTCCACTTCCTTCTGTTATTGATTTTTAGTTTCATTCCACTCCATTGTAGTCAAAGAAAATCCTTTGTATGGTTTCAATATTTTCAATTTTTAGACTTGTTTTATCCTAACATATGGCTTATTTTGAAGAATATTCCACAATAGAAAAGATTATGTATTCTGGGCTGGGGATGTGGCTCAAGCAGTAGCACACTCGCCTGGCATGCGTGCGGCCCGGGTTCGATCCTCAGCACCACATACCAACAAAGATGTGTCCGCCGAAAACTAAAAAATAAATAAATAAATATTAAAAAAAAAAGATTATGTATTCTATTGTTGTTGGGTGGAGCATTGTATATATACTTGTTTGCTCTAATTCAATTATGATGTTGTGCAGAAACTTTTTAGTATTATATAGTCCCACTTTTCTAATTTTTCTTTTTTTTCTTCATGCTTTTGGTCTCATATCCAAGATATTATTGCCAAGCCAAATGTCATGAAGCTTTTCCTATATTTTTCCTTCTAGATATTTTAGACTTTTCTTTTTTAAAGAAGTTGTTATTTTTTGGTACTGTAGATTGAACCCAGGAGCACTTACCACTGAACTACATCCTGGACCTTTTTTAAAAAAATTACTTTGAGACAAGGTTTTGCTAAGTTGCTTAGGGCCTCACTAAGTTGCTGAGGCTGGTTTTGGATTGTGATCCTGCCTTCACCTCCCAAGTGGCTGGGATTACAGAAGTGTGCCACCACCCAGCTAGAGTTTTCTTTAATGAATTTGAGATGATTTTTATTTCTTGTATAAGATAAATGTTCAATTTCATTGTTTTGCTTTGGCTATCTAGTTTTCTAACACCTTTTGTTGAAGAGACTTTGCTTTCCCCATTGCACATTCATGATGCCCTTGTTGAAAATGAATCAGTATTTGAACCTCTAACAACATGTTTAGTTTTGTGGGTCTTTTAGCTTTTAGATAAACAGAATCACATCATGATATTGTTTTGTGCTTTTGTTGCTAACATTGTCTGAGATTAACCCCTACTGCTCCATATAGTACTTACTGTCATTTGTGAATATAACTATCACTTATGAACATATTGTATTGTATTTTTCTATCCTACTGCTGATGGATACTTAGGTTGCTCCCAGTTTACAGCTATTATGAACAGTGCTGCTATGAACATTCTTTTAAAAGTCTTTTGGTGAACATATGCATGCATTTCTGTTAGGTAGTAGGTCATAAATTATGTATGTTTTTTCTCTGAAAACAAAATTAGCGTTTGAAAACTGAAATGCAGTGATTTCTGCAAGGTAAACGCTACTTTATGGGGGGGGGGTCTCATCCAAGATACAGCTGTGTTCATCATGTCCCACTGTTTAGGTACCTTAACATTTGATATTGTAACTACAATGTGTTTTGCCTTAAATCCTACTCTACAAAACAACCTGCAGTGGCATTTTAGCAAACATCACTTCAGAAAACTCCCTATATACTTAAAAGCATAAACAAACCTTATTAACAAGCCTGTATTTTCAAGAAAAATCAACAGAGATAAGAAATAAATATTTAAAATATCTCTATCTCACTTTTTTTGTGGGGTCCAAGCAGAATGATGCATATTAGTGGCTGAGGGTAGGGAAAGTAAGGAGATGTGCTGGTGTCCTGTATTCTAAGAGAAGACAAAGAAATAGAAATAGACAGGTACTCCAAAGAAGGTATATTTTCTCCCTGGAAATCAGACAAAGGTAAAATATAACCAAATGTAAATTCACTTTCTTTTGGCTTCTAGCATTGGCAAATAAATAAATGAGTGGCATTCTGTTATGTTGGGGGCAAGAGAAAATGGCAGGTACATTTTTGCATTACTGTTGGTAGGAGGGGATTTTGGGGACCATGACTCATTGGTGATGTTGGTGACATATGTCTCAAGTAATCAAGAACACTTGAGAGGTGAAGTATTTTTTGATTCTGCAATCATCTCCCTGTTAATAGGTGCGTGAAGAAGATTCTGTACTGGTTAAGAATTGCAAGTTGGTGTTGTAAGAATGAAGATCACCTGGAAGGACAGGATCAAGATTATATAGAATCAGCTTCTCTTACAGGCCTGCCCAATCTACTGGCTCATTTCAGTTCTCTAAAGGATACATGGGACCAGGAAGAGAGATGTTATTGGGGATCCATGAATGAGAGATGGAAAACGTCCAGACAGTCTTGAATCAGCAAAAGAATACTGGCCTACCACCCCACATTAAAAGTTCATTAACCTACTGAAAGAGGTTGTTTTGCCTGTCTGTCTGTAGAGGGCAGCAAAACCCAATGGAAAGGAAGAGGAAGCCAATGACAGGATATTTGGTACACACTGAAGAAACTTGTGTTAATTTAAGGAAATATCAGGCTTGAACCTGTCACAGACAGTGGTAGACGCAAGTGCTAAACCAAAACTTACTCTTCTGCTGTATTCAGAAATCCTGTAATCACATCCTTTTTGGCTCTGAGTAAGCAGGATCAATATTTATAAAAGCAGAAATGGGGATACGGTAAGGTAGAGCAAAAAAAAAAAAAAAATAGGCATTTGTAGAGGGACAAGATGACAAAGTACCAGAAGGACAAGGTAGATGCTGAGCTTGAGACATAAATGGTAGACTTCAAAGCTACCATTTAGGAAAATTGCGCCTGAGTCTTATGTACTAGTGCATCTGAAATCCCCATTCTCTATTGTCTGTCTACCTGTACACAAAAATACAGGAAGGGGAGGGAGAAAATTCCTTCATATAGTGCCATATACCTGAAGATAAGGGGTGAATGTGGGGTGTCAGAGTCAGAATACAGGGTCCAGAGGTAACTCAGCTTCTCCTTCTCCCAGGCTTTATTCTACTCTTTTTAATTTTGGTGCTGGAAAGAGGCATGTACTGTACCTCAGGGGAACTGCAGAAATGAGCTAAAAGGAGGTAAATATCAGAGGAGAAACATTTGAAAATTAAGATTCTAACTCAAGAAATAGAGATACATACACCCCCGTATCGTGTGTGTTGACATGTATTTCTGATATATCCTTTCATATCAAAGCTCCATGTATATTAACAAGAATCTAAAGCCATATGGGATGGCAATATAAAGCTTGTGACTGGCGGGGGGGGGGAGTGGTAACAATATGATTCCTAGAACATCACCACTAGATGAATTTTCTAGAATAAAACCCAATTGTGCCTTGTTCTAGGTGTATTATGTCTACAAATTATGAATTACAGAAAACGTGTAAAAATTGGCTCTAGAAGTTGCTATAGTTACTTTCCCACTAAAAACAAGAAGATGGAATCCAGTAAGAAAAGACCCGAAGAGTGAGTCATTTCAGACCAGGGAGAGGACAAGTACAGTCTTTGATCAGGAGTTAAGGGTCCAAAAAAAGCCAAGTCCAGGGGGTGAAGTAAACTTCAATCATACCCCAAAAAGGATCCAAGGACTCACAGAGAGGATACTTTACCAATAAATAAGAATAACTTTTTTTTTAAATCAAAAGGATAATTTGGGGAGGGGTGATACTGAACACAATAAAAGTGTCAGTTGTATTCTTGACCTCTCCAAGTGTCCTTCTATTCAGGGAAAAAAGTTGTTTGCTGAGCCCAAGGATGCTGTTTTTTCACTTAGCCACAATATCAGGAGTCATTTGGCCAACCTTTCCATCTGTGGAAACACACTCCCCACCCCCCACCCCACTGTGAGGGAGGAAGCTTTGTGTGCCCCAGGTAACTTGAATGCCAGTACTGAAAATCAGGGCCAGATTAAGATGTTCATCAATGAAGTGTGTCAGGAGACTGTGCCACGTAGCTGCAACTCATTTCTGCAGCAGGCCGGATTAAATTTGTTAATAAGCATGACAGTTATTAATAACATGCTTGCCAAGTCCGTTTCAGACTTGAAGTTTCCTTTGATACCCGAAAGAAGTGGCTGTGCTAAGGTTCAGGTTTTAGAACCGCTGATGGGTTTGTCTGAAAAGCCACTCTTGGCAGGGGAGTTGCTGGGTGTCCAGATGCTGTTCTCATTCATGTCCCTCTTTATCAGAAGTGCAAACAGAGAGGTTCTCCTGGAAACCCTCACCCCTTAAATAGCCTTCTGGGACAGAATGGGACTGACTCCACACAAACCCTGCTAGGTTTGCAGATGCCAAAGAATCTGCAGTGGGTGCTACTGAGGATCCAGCCTTAGGCAGTCACCCCATCGCCGGGGGTCACTGGGGCTGGGTGCACGTTCCAGAAGCTAGACTGAAGACCACACTCTTTTTGGCCAGGCAGGGCTCCCCCGCAGAGCTTTGGGTAATTCCCTGATTTTGCAGTCTGCAGGCATTGTGCATTGTAAATTACTCCCTTGCAGCCCTCTTGATGCAGTAAAGGGATCACTGTGGCTCGCCTGCTGCAGATAAGGGACATCAAACTAGAGTACCACCAGTGCTCACTTGCCTGTGATGGTCTCCCTGCTGGAGAGGGACCGCTTTGCAGAGGCCAGGCCCATCTGGGAGCTCATGCTGAAAATGCATCTGCCGCTGCCTACGTTGAAGTATTTTCCTTTTCTCTTTCTTCCACACCAGCCCACAGATGGCAAACCTGTTCATCCACAAAGTGCACTCCCCTTGTATCCATTGTACTGACTTAACTTCCTCCGCCCAAGTCTGCATCTGTGTGTATCATCAATAAACTTGTGTGCTTTGATTGGCAAAAAGAGAGAGACATGGTCCTTGTCCTTGAGCCTGCAGTCTGCACCAAGAGAAAGGCCTGCATGCACAATAAACGCCAGCTGACCGGGGGTGGGGGCTGCTCTCTGACAGATGCACACTTGTCAGTGCTCATAGGAGACAGGGGCAGAAAGGGGCGGCTGTGCTCAGCAGAAGCTCCAAGAAGGGAGATGGGGGCAGGGTCGACAGGTGGGGCACAGGGAGGCTGGGGGAATGCTGATGGAATGTTGAGTGAACTGGCAAAGACAGCACTCTCCAAGCAGGACACAGTGGTGCCTGATGCAGAGGAATCCCGCTAAAAAGGTGATTGTGATTCCTTGACTGCCAGCCTAGAGAGGAAGGCCAGTGTCCTTGGTGTTTGTGCATTGCTTATGGTGGTGGTCGATGGTGGGGATTGTGGTGGGGGCAGTGGGGGAGGCTCCCAGTCGAGCATCCATGCACATCCAGTGCATAATTATCACAGTAAAGATTGCCACTTGCCCAGGGCCTACTTGACCTCTCTTTCCCCTGCAAAGCTGCTGTCAGACCTGCTTCCAGCCCTCCTCCCTGTCTTGGGAACCCAAGCACTGCTTCCTGGCAGGGTGAGAGGGTTGTCTACTGCTTCATTTGGGTGAAACTCCTCTCCTCCATGGCTCCCCTTGTATGTCGGGTGGGACCCAGGAAGGGAATAGGGGAGCCCTCCAGGAACTCCCTGTGGGGGTGGTAGGGCAGATGTGAAGGGTGCTTGGTGCAACCAGCCTCGGCCTATCCATCCATCTGGAACACCTCCATACCATCCCTCCAAGGTCCCTGCACCCCGGTGAGGAAAGGAAGTGCCCCTCCGTGCGTGCGGAACCGTGGGTCCAAAGGGCTGGCCAACTCATTCTGCCACACTGTCCCCAACATATCCAGGCCCCTCCCAGGAATCCTCAGCCCCTGTCGCCAAAGTCACATTCTCTGTGGGTTTGTGATGTGCGCGGCAGTGGTCTCCTTCCTCCGAAGCCACGATTTCCCTTGGATGGTGCTGTTTCTGTGCCCTGTGCCCTCTCCCGGAAGGTGTCTCTGAGATGCTGCCGTGGGTCACCGTGCCCTGGCCAGCAGTGGCCTGCCTGCCTGCAGGGTGTTCTGCCTCCTGCCTGCTGTCCTCCACACAGAACTTTGTTTCCTTTTCATTTTTTCTTTTCCTTTCCACCAGAGTTTGGTTGGGTTCCAGGTGGGTTAGAACTTTGCTGCTTGCACCGTGTGCCCCAAACTCTATGCTGACTTGGGCACCTTCCGGTTCTGCCTACCAACTCTGGGAAGCCCTCCAACTGGGAATGGGGATGCTGCATCTCCTCATCCTGCACCTGGGATGGCCAGCAAGAGACCTGTGGGCGCTGCCACACCACACCCCCATGGAGGCTCATCCCCACCCCTGACCGCAGGCCTCCTTGGCTAACCCTGGGGCCCTGTCTTATCTCCCAACAGCAGCTGACAGGACCACCCATTCCTCCCAGGTGAGCCACAGGTAGGCCGGGGCGTCCATTTGACAAGGAGGATTTCCCTGCAGCCTTCATGCTCTTTTCCCAGTCCAGCCTGCCCTGCCAGTGCTGCCTTCAGTGACACCTCCTTGCTCGGCCTCTACTTGCTCCTAGATTCTGCCTCAAATTAGCACGTGCCTCCCCACTCCTCTGCATGCTACCACATCCCAGATGCCCGTTTGTGCATAGTTGTCCCCCATCTTCTGGGCACTGGAGGCTTCAAGGCTGTAGCTGACTCCAAACTCAGAGAGGGCCTCGGAGGCTTCCTGCCCATCTCCTGAGCAGCTCTTTCACAGGGAAGCCTGCAGGCATCCAAGTGCCTCCACGTGAGGCCTCGGCCCAAGGCAAAACCTTCCTTGTCCATTTACTGGCACTGCCCTCCCCCAAATACTCCCTGTGTCTGCAGGTGCAGCACTCTGAACTTCCCTCATCCCTCATCAGTTTATAGGGATGCCAGGTAGGATCCCAGTTCCATGTGGGTTCTGTCTCCTCAGGGAGGCCGGTGGAGGGGAGTGGGGAGCATGCCTGCCACCCAGGGCTGGATCAAGACACTGAGAGGGGGGCTTTCAACTGTGGCCAGAGCACCAGCGCCCCCACCCCATAGGTATAAGCACAATAAAAACAGCCCTGAGCCACCAATCACAAAACTCACCTGTCTGCTTCAACGACAGGACACTGTTTCTGGGCTTTCCTGTGGCAAACACTGGGCAGGCTCATCCATGCTGGGCCTGCCAGGTACTATGAAGGAGGTGCCCTGTCAGGAAGGTGCCGCCCCAGCCTGAGTTGTCTCTTCTATAAATATTGCAACTGCCACCTCAGACTGCCTTCCAGCTCCAGAAAGGGCCCTGGTTTTGCTTCTTATTCATCTCATTAGGACCTTTCCATCGGGTGCCCGAAGCCACTGGCTTCCACGCTACCTATCACCTGTGCTTCCCCCTCTCCTGGGGATCCTGTGGTTTGAAGGCCCTCACTCCCACACCCCTGAAAGTGCATGCAACGTTGCAGACATCCAGCTTCCCCTAGGCCCATCCAGTGCCAGGTCCTGCATTCCCACTGGGCCCGATGTGTCACTCTCAAAGCAGTTTCCACCCCACTTTTAAGTGGCACACGTGCACCAGCACACTCATCACACACCAAGTCAACCCCTGTGCCTTAGCATCACGAGGCTGGGCTAACAGGTGGGCAGCTGTGGGCAGGATTTGCTCCTGCCCGCCTTCTAGAATTCACTGATAAGGCCTGGACTGCAGCAAGGCCCTGCCCCAGAGCCCAGCACACCCCTGCAGAAGTTCCAGAGCCCCGCCCCTGCCTGGTGGAAAAAGTGGAAAAAGATGTAATGCATGCATCTTCTCACAGTCTGCCACTCCCCTCCTCGCTTTGCTCATGGCCTCCTTTTCACCCAGGACGTTCATTTACACTGACTGCCTCTGTCTTTGTGGGCAGCTTAGGATGCCACCCCCACACACTCCCTGATTACTAAAAGGGTCTCCTTTATAGCTCCCCAGTGCTTTCATACCTGCCATTTCAAGTTTTGTTTCATGGGTCTGTCTGCTGGGCACTTCCTTTTGGGCAAGGTCTGCAATAATGAAGTAATTTGCCTTCTTTTCCCCAATGGATAACCACTAGTTATCCAGCACCACTGGTTGAGCACTCCATTCCTGGGCCACCGTGTAGCACATTGTGGCACCCTCATGCACCCAGCCCAGCAACTCCTCTGTGCCTTCCTGGCACTGAAGTCTCTCTTGAGGCACAGCTCTTTCTCCCAGGAACTCCTAATTGACTTGGGGAGCCTCATCTCCCTGGGTGGCCCCGGGGAGGTGGTGTGTGTGTGTTGGTGTGGGGGGGGGGGCCTGTGGCTGCCTGTGAGCAGCCCTCATCCCCAGGCCCTGATGGAAATAGCAGTTAAAAAGGTTAATTATCTATTCCCTCACTGTTGTTTCTCTAAAGAGAAGGGAAGTGGAAAAAGATGTAATATTTACAGAAAGTTTTCTAGAAATATTTTTTCCAGAACTCTCTTTAAGAACCCTTTACCTTATTTCATTTTACTCAAATATTTTCTTCCTCCCCCATGTCTTTGGCAGTGAAGTAGCTCAAACTAGTTTTTCTGGTTTATTGCATACTTTTTTTCAGTCCCTGGCATTGTATCCATTAGTCTAGCCATTGGTATTCTATTGTTCTTTGTTCTTGTATATCTGGATATGGGATGATTTTGAATGACGGGAAGACAATTTGGTGGCTCATGTTATTACCACAAACATGCACTCCAAATAACTGTGTCACATAATCTCTGTGTGAATAAATATTTGAATTTTACAAAGATCAATTGTTAAGGTATGTATTTGTATCAAGAGTTCTTTATTTTTCACTATCTAGGCCTTTAATTTGGGTAGTGAATAAAGTTGTTGACTTTCTCAACTAGAAGAAGGATTGGAGGTAAGGGAAATGATAAAAGTTGTAACCACCAGCCTTCTCTGTGAGCTTGAGCTGTCCTAGGTTTGACCTTGTACTTTTGTAGTTTGTGCCAAAGGACATGTAAAAGCTATCCTCAATGCTCAGACATTTCCCTTATTTGGTCATATCTAATAACCAGTCCCATCTGGAATTTCAGTCAGGGAATTGATTTGAGGCAGGAAACATGAAGTTGGTTGTTTTTCCTTCTTGTTCCGTCTCTTCTCTCATAAATCTCGTCTTTGATGAACACTTCCTTTAGTTTCTAAGTTCTCACCACCTGTGGCTTGTAGTAAAGATCTGTGTTCAGATTCTTCCAGGCTTGGTTCCTGAATTGTAATGGGAGGTTTGGGAAATTAGTAAAACTCCAAATTGATGGCTACAAATCTTAAAATTAGCTTTGAGAAATCAGTTTCCTGAGCAAGGTACAAGCAGTACATTGCCTCTCTTTCTGTAAGTTTTTGTTCTAATTACTTAATGTTAATGGTGAACAATGAGGATAGGCAGGGATACAGAGGGTCAGTTTGGCAACCAAGACATTGCTTTGTATGTTTTCAGTCTTTACAGGGATAGAACAAAGAAAGATGTATGTGAAGTGTGGAAACTATAAAGTATGTGTTGGTCATCTCACATAACATGTTATATACAAGTCTGGGCAAAGACTGGTCATGTTTACATTCAAAGACTGGGTATTCTTTACATTCCATCTTAAGTTTAAAGTTAGTTTACTTGAAAAAATAGGTAACATGTCTTAGTTGTTTAAAATCAAAAAATAAGAACTGGTATGCATTAAGAAATCTCTCATGAAGGTATGGTGATGCATGCCTGTAATCCAAGGTACTTGGGGGCTAAGGCAGGAGGAGCTAGAGTTTGCAACCAGGCTGGGCAACTTAGGGAGACCATGTCTCTAAATAAATTTTTAAAAAGAAAGAAAATATCCGTTTACTTTTCCTCTCTTTTACCAACTTCTCAGTTCTCTCCCATCAGAG